CCAAATTTGTATACAAAACTTAGTTATAGAAAATATGATAGAATATTCAGTAATAGACATTCAACCATACTTTAGGATAAAATTCTGCAGTGTAGTGGAATGCAATGGGAACTCAAAAAAGGACAGGGATGATTAAATTTTTTTCCCAATATTTAAAGAACATTTCCTTGTATTTCTTAGAATGATGAATAAGATTATTAAGTTGCTGTGGTATTTAGATTTAATTGAAGAGATTTGAGTGATGTAATAACATGTAAAAATGTCAATTTTTGCAATATATCAGCAATTACAGTTTTTGAACTAGTTTATTTTTTAGTAAAAAACTTTAGATGCTAACCCAAAAATGTGTTGAGGGAGCATATCATTTTTTAAAAACTTCATTTTGGGGGTAAACAAGCAAAATTCAAAGGTCACTAAGGTAGAGAATATTCATTTTCTTATTCTCAACCTATAAAATGACTCCTTGTATGGAAGGGAGAAATCAAGGAGGAAAAAAGACTCCAGAGCTACGATCTTTCTTAGATCTTCCCAGGGAGTTATTCTCCTATTGTGAAGCAACTCCCCCAAAGAAAGGGAAGGATATTAGAGAAAGGAAGACGCAGATGTAATCCTCATTAAAGAAACAACATATGTAGAAACATTTGCCAAATGCATCAGACGTAGTTTTTGTTGTTCAGTTTCTAAGTTGTGTCCAGCCAGCTCTTTGTGACCCCAGGGACTGCAGCACACCAGGCTTCCCTGTCCTTCACTATCTCCCAGAGTTTACTCAAACTCATGTCTGTTTAGTTGATGATTCCATCAAACCATCTTATCCTCTGTCACCCCCTTCTCCTCCTACCCTCAATCTTTCCCAGCATCAGGGTCTTTTCAAATGAGTCAGCTCTTTGCATAAGTGGCTGAAGTATTGGAGCTTCAACTGCAGGATCAGTCCTTCCAATAAATATTCAGGGTTAATTTTCTTTAAGATTGGCTGGTCTGATCTTTCTGTGCAAGGGACTCTCAAGAGTCTTCTCCAGCACCACAGTTTGAAAGTATCATTTCTTTGGCACTCAGTCTTCTTTATGGTCCAACTCTCACATCCATACATGACTACTGGAAAAACCATAGCTTTGACAATATGGACCTTTGTCGTACATGGAAGGTGCTCATTAAATCACAGGATAATTAAGACTAAACCTGCCAAACCCAGGAAGGATCTGTCAAGAGGCGAAGAAAAGTCTACTATCATGATATGTATAAAATTAAGTGGGGTCACATCCCCAAGGTACTCATTATAGTTATTCATAGTTTACTATGATATTACTTTGATTTTTAAATTTTTCTTCTATTCTTTATATAAGGCAGGAGGAAACAATCTTTTCTTACAAAGGGGCTAGATAGTGAATTTTGGTTTTGTGGGTCATACAGTGTGTGTTGCAACTATTCAACTCTGCCACTGCAGGGAGAAAGAAACCATAGATGGTCCAGAAACAAAGGAATGTGTCTGTGAGCCAATAAAACTTTGTTGATGAACATTTAAATGTGAATTTTATATAATTTTCGTGTCATGAAATTTCTTTCTTCTGATATTTTCCCAACTATATGAAAATGTAAAAACCATTCTTAGTTCACAGGCTTTACAAAAACAGGTGGTAGACCAGCTCTGGCCTACAGGCAGTAGTTTGCCATACTCCGGTTTAAGGTATGGGGCCCTTTATGCTAAGAGTGGGTACAGTATGAGAAGGATACCCAAGAAACCAGCTCTAATGGTAAGGGAAAGGGTGACAGAACTCAAGGGAGACTTATATTTTCAGTGTAGTGTTTGAATCGCTTGCCATGTGCTTATGTTACCATTTCAAAAATTAAAGAGTTTCCTTTGTACTAACCCCCTTCAGAAATCATAACCAACAGACCTGATTTGAGCAGACTTAGCCAACTGTCTGGATTCTGGGAGATTTTTGTTGTTAGCTAATCAGGGGTTTCCCAGGTGGCTCAGCCTACCAAGGATGAGATGCAAGTAAAAATGAGTCTGGAAATATTGAACTGTAAGATAGAACTTCCAAAAGAATGAAACAGGGAGGAGAGAGCTCATCTCACTTCCATCCCCACCTTCAAACAACTGCAACATATCATAGTCACAGAAGCTTTGACTCCAAGGGGATTCTGGGCCTTTCTGATCTGGGCCTTTCTGGGGCATCTGTGAAACAGTGGTACCATCTAGGTATCACTAGATAGGATCTAGTGATCCTATAGGATCACTATAATCAACCTACCAAGGATGAGATGCAAGTTCAATCCCTGGATTGGGAAGATCCCCTGGAGAAGGGAAAGGCTACGCACTCCAGTATTCTTGCCTGAGAAATCCCATGGACAGAGGAGCCTGGCGGGCTATAGTCCACGGGGTCACAAAGAGTCAGACACAACTGAGCACGCACACATGCAGCTAGCATATGAATATGAATGTGGTCCCATCAGTAGTGACAACTGAACTTTTACTGGTTTACTCCTCAGGACTTCTAGTTCCTTATTAAAGCCCTCCTCTCCCTGCAGATGTTTTAGGAATGCCCTGCGATCTCTTTATGTCTGTTCATCATCAAGTCTACTCTGGCCGCTGCTTCTGTTACTTTTTGTGTTTATAGGGGAAAGCAGCACCCAACCAATGGTCACAATTCCTCTGCTGGGCACGTTTCCATGGGTTATGGTGATACCTAGATGGTACCACTGTTTCACAGATGCCCCAGAAAGGCCCAGAGTCCCCTTGGAGTCAAAGCTTCTGTGACTATGATATGTTGCAGTTGTTTGAAGGTGGGGATGGAAGTGAGATGAGCTCTCTCCTCCCTGTTTCATTCTTTTGGAAGTTCCGTCTTACAGTTCAATATTTCCAGACTCATTTTTATTTATACTCCTTTCCCTTCTTACCTCAGAGTGTCAAGAATACCTCTTGGATCTAATACAGGTTGGTCAAACACTGTGCCACATTGAGGATTACACATTCCTCTAAGGACTGAGGCTTTACTTTGAGGTGAAGATCATGTTTCCCAGTTCCCTCTGACTTTAGGATGAGTTTTCTCCTAACAAGCCCCTTGGCTTATTGGACAGTAGACTTTGGTAGGACCAGGCCAGTGGTTCACCAGATGGCCTCAGGTATGTCTGTGGTCCCACAGTGGACACAGCTTGTATCATTCCTCAGGAGCTGCTCTCTCCTGTTTCTTCAACCTCTCTGGTGTATTCTAGATGTGACCTGGAATTGCTTGTCTTTATTTTAATTTTGTTTTTATTTTTCTTAATTTTAAAAAATTGATTAATTAATTAATTAATTTTACTTTACAATATTGTATTGGTTTTGCCATACATTGACTTGAATCCGCCATGGGTGTACATGTGTTCCCCATCCTGAACACCCCCCTCCCACCTCCCTCCCCATCCCATCCCACTGGTCATCCCAGTGCACCAGCCCCGAGCACCCTGTCCCATGCATCGAACCTGGACTGGTGATTCGTTTCACATATGATAATATACATGTTTCAATGCCATTCTCCCATATCATCCTGCCCTCGCCCTCTCCCACAAAGTCCAAAAGACTGTTCTATACATCTGTGTATCTTTTGCTGTCTTGCATACAGGGTTATCGTTACCATCTTTCTAAATTCCATATATATGCGTTAGTATACTGTATTGGTGTTTTTCTTTCTGGCTTACTTCACTCTGTATGATAGGCTCCAGTTTCATCCACCTCAGTAGAACTGATTTCAAATGTATTCTTTTTAATGGCTGAGTAATATTCCATGGTGTATATGTACCACAGCTTTCTTATCCATTCATCTACTGATGAGCATCTAGGTTGCTTCCATGTCCTGGATATTATAAACAGTGCTGTGATGAACATTGGGATACACGTGTCTCTTTCAATTCTGGTTTCCTCGGTGTGTATGCNGCAGATTGATCCCTCCAGTTCCATTCTTCTTTCTCAAGATTGCTTTGGCTATTCTAGGTTTTTTGTATTTCCATACAAATTGTGAAATTATTTGTTCTAGTTCTCTGAAAAATACTGTTGGTAGCGTGATAGGGGTTACATTGAATCTATAGATTGCTTTGGATAGTATACTCATTTTCCCTACATTGATTCTTCCGATCCATGAACACAGTATATTTCTCCATCTATTTGTGTCCTCTTTGATTTCTTTCACCAGTGTTTTATAGTTTTCTATAAGTAGGTCTTTTGTTTCTTTAGGTAGATGTATTCCTAAGTATTTTATTCTTTTTGTTGCAATGGTGAGTGGAATTGTTTCCTTACTTTCTCTTTCTGTTTTCTCATTATTGCTTGTCTTTAAAAATTGCCCTCAAAACCACACATTTTCCTCCAGCTACTTCCCTATCTTCACTCCTTTTCACACCCCTTTCCCTCCTGACTTCAGGGTGGTGAGAAGACCTCTTGAATCTAATCAGGTTGGTCCCCACTATAACATCCTCATCTATGCCTTCATCAGCAGCTTTCAAGACAACATGTAATCATCTGTGTATTCCTGTGATTGTTTTTTAATGTCTCTATTCCTCATTAAGCTTGATATCAAAGATCTTGGATGATATTTTTACTGTTATTTTATTTTCAAAGATCCAGCACAGAGCTTAGTTCAGAATAGCTCCTCAATAAATATTTGTTGAAAACATGAATAAATGACTGCATACAACAAATGTAGTCTGGTGGACTACCTTACCAGCAGCCAAATATCTGTTTGAACTGTCACTTCTGCTTGATCTGGAACATCTTGCTGAGTGAGGAGGAAACAGAGAGCTGTGAATAGTAAGGAAGTTCTAGTGAAATAAATATTTGCCCAACAAACCCCCTGTATTCTCTTTCTGAGTTGTAAATATAAGTAGTTATCTGTAAATGAAATGATTTCTTGGTAAAGACAGGATTAAAAGTTTAAAAACCATCCTCAGGAGATGGCCTTGGAAAAAGTGTCTGAGAACATACCTTTTCATTATTCAACTTTTTTCATTACTTTTTCAGGGGGTAGAAGACATACTGGAAGGAAGGAAGGAAGAACTAGAAATATAGGTAAAAGTGAACACCGCATCTCTTGGGTTTTTGGATATACTCTGGACGTCTTCTCAGGATGAAACTTCCGACATTTGGGTGATATTTACCACTATTTTTCTTCTTGCCATAGCTTCTTTTACCCTAGATTAAATACATGAAAAGGTAGACCATGAGAATGAAAATGTAAGCCCCTTAAATTTTCTCTAAAAGGCAAAAATAAAGATCTTGGGTGAACATCTTCTGAATTTTTTATCTGCTAATATGATGCCTACTCAACTTAAGAAAATTCCAAGGAATTTCCTGGTGATAAGAATTTCCTGGTGATCAGTTTCCAGTTGATAAGACTATATACTTTCACTGTTGAGGGTGTGGGTTCAATCCCTGGTTGGTGAACTAAGATCCTATAAGCTGCATGGCACAGCCAAAAAAGAAAATGAAAAATTCTGGTAGGAAGTGATCTGAAATAATTTTTGTGTCTTGCAAAGACCTGTTCATCATTAGTGTAAATTTTAAGATAAATTATTGATTCACCCCATTTTTAATCAAGGCTTTTATATTTGTTTCTGTTTTTTCTATACATAAAATAGACATATCCAAAATATCATCATATCTTGCCCAAATCTACCAAGTGCTGAAACAAATGAAAACATATGGTGTTTTCCCAGATAAATTAGAGAGTATCTATTCTGAAAGCATATATCTTAGACATTTGTAAGTCCAAATGAGTGTAAAAATGGTAATTATCAAGGAAAGACATGTAAAGAAAAGCTACGATAAAATGTCTACAAATGGAGTATTTTGTGCTTGTTAAAATTAGCTTGCTCTGTCTCTCCCTCTTTCTTAATCATCTCCCCACCCTCCCCAACACTCTATGTATTTATTTACCTTTCAGGGGATTTTTTTTGAAGACCACCATAACAAAGGTAATATATTCTCAAGTAGAAAAGTTTGGATGGGATCAAAAATGAATCTCATTGAACACTCCCACTTACCTGCCGCAGATGAATTTTCTCTTTCTGACAATTTATTTGGTAAGTTGTCAAGTTCATTCAAATATTAGTAAAAAACAAACAAACAAACAAACAAACAAACTGCAATTTGGACATACAAAAGGAAAAAACTGATAAGTCCAGAGAGAGTCCAGAGAATTTTTTTGTTCCGAGTACTCCATAGACATTAGCTACTCTGCAAGGTTAGAGATAGATCAGACCTTGGATTCACTGAACGTAATAGTCTTTTTTATAGATGAGAACTGCAAGAGTCAGAGAGTTTTGTGACTTGTCCAAGGCCATGAGGCTAGATAATTAACAGAGCTGGGAGTAGAAATACATTCCTGTCTAGGGCTAATTCTAATATTATTATAGGATGTACTCTTATGGTTTAATATTATACCTATTAAAGGCTGAGGTTACTTAGATTATAGCTCTGTGCTACGTTTCCTTTCCACCCTTCTTCCGGTACTGGGGGAGATATGGCACGCTGTCAGGATTAGTCATTTAAACTGGATTGAGCACAAATTGTACCAAGTTGTTTTCAGTAGATCTGTAACTAGATGATACCATAAAATGATCTATTGCTCCACGTTATGCATTTATTTAAAAAAAACGCCTCATTATAAAGAGTTTGAATTGAGAACATCAGCAAAATGTTGGCAGGGGCAGTATTTTGGGTGGGGTAGAGCAGCTTTCTGCCACTCTTAAAATAGGTTCCCTTCTGCTTTGTAACTCTGCTGGGAGGCTTGGATACTCCCAGTTTTTTACGCTATATTGAAATATGAACCATGATCGATGATGATAGTGAGAATGCAAACACTTGAGGTCACACAAAATTCAATGTGTTAAGGCACCATCCCCTATTTGGTTGCAGAAGTCCCTAGGAGATATTAATCAATAGCTTATACTATTACCTACTAGTCATTAGCGTTAGTGTGAAGTGGTTTATCAGGTCATTTCCAAGAAGGGGTCATTATTATCCCTTTACATGACTACCTGCCCCCATTCAGTTTAAGAGCATCTAAGGGAGTGACTATATTTTATTAATCCTAGTATCTACTTAATAAGTAAGACTCAGACATTAAATAATAGCAGGGAAGGAGAAAAGAGGTTTAAGGGGAAAAGATGTTTATCAGTAACTCGCAGAGAACTAAAGGCAGCAGTAATTATTTATGAAATGCCAGTTCTCAGACATACTTGCCACATCTTATTCCTTCCAGTTGGCTTTTCTTCATCCTGTGGATACAGTCAAGGGCAGTGGGACAGAGACCTCAATGTCTGGACACTTGACCATTTACTTCCAGCCTACCCTTCTATGGGTCCTTAAAAATATAATGCATAGATATCTTTATAGTATTTTATCTACTCATCAGAACTCATAGGATGATTAGGACTGTAGGTGCAGATCATAGACTAAGGAAAGTTGCACTTGAGATGATTTTTTTCACATATAGACTCCATTTCCTGCTCTGAAATTTTATGACTGCATGTTAAGATCTCCAAATCTAAACTCTGATGTCATCGTTGTTAAACAAATCCATCCAGCTTTAATTTGTATATACATCAAGAGGAAACTGTTAAGATTTTTCTTACAAACTAGTCCACTTTAAGCAAGCTCATCAGATTGAAAGCTGACCTGAGTGGTGGTGAGGTGAAAAAGAGGTAAGTAGATAAGAGAAAAAGTTGTGAAGGAGCTGTCAAGTTATAAACATCTGAAAATGATTTCTACAGAAGCGTTGTGGTTCATGGTTTCTTTCAGTGGTGCTCTTTCCTCGTCTCTCCTTTGCAGGACTACATCCTTATCCAATTTCCTAACACTTTCTGTAATGTTTCTTAGAATACATAGCACAAAATGCATAAGCTGCAATGCATGGCTCTTACTCTTCAATCTTCTCTATTAAGTTCTAGAGCCAGGTCTAAGGTTTTTTTTCTCCCACATACCTTTCCCTCAGGGCCTCCGTCTCACTCTGTTCAATATACCTAAGCAAAGTCTGCTGAAGGGGAGGATGAAGAGCTTTCTGTTATTCTTCCTGCCCATCTTCTTTCGTGTCTTGATGACACTGATGCATTCTCTGGACCTCCCACTCTGAGCCTAGGGCATACAGAGCACCAGGGAAAAGACTGTGGCTCATGGATGAGTAGCCCACAATACCTAAGTCACCACTTGTAGATCTTGATATGTGCCCAAAATTCAGAAGTTTAACTCACAGGCTCAACTAACTGGAGAGCTGGACTCTTCCTATGGTCTAACTGTGTACTGAAAACCAACCATAGTGTTGTTATAACAAGAGCAACTGAAGTTTATGGTATTGCATATGGATAGCTATAATTTCTTCCATCTAGACATTGAACACTGACCATATGCTGGATGTTGGAATAAAGCAGGAAATAAGACAAGCAAGATCCTAGTGGAGAGTAAACTCTCAAGAAACCAGCAAAGGAATAAATAAATGAAATAATATCAGGTAGTGGTGAGTGCTATGGAAACAACAAAAGAGGGTGATGTCATAGCAACTGGAAGGAGGAGGCTGCTCTAACTTGTGTGGTCAGGGGAGGCCTCTGAGGAGTTGACAACTGAGCTAAAAAAGACAGTCTTAATCTGAAGAAGTATTCTGCGTAAAGGAAATGTAAATGCAAAGGTCCAAAGTCTAGAATGACTTGGAAGGGCTTTGTCTTCTCATTTTTATTGGGGAAAGTTGAAAGAGTCTAGAGAACTGGCTCTGGACCCCATATTTCCATTAACCAACATTGGTAAAAGGAGATTAGTAGGCTGGGAATTCTAGGACCCCTAGAATTCAAGTCCACAAATCTCTACAGTCGTCATGTGAGGAAGTGGCAACTTGGACTCAGTGGTATTCACCTGACATATGATGTGACTTTTAGGTGGTCTTGGGCATGGTCCCCCTTCCTGCAGGTCACCCAAAAGGCCATAATTAAATCCCAAGACATTGACATTTAATTTAAGACATTGAGAAAGTAACATAAATGTTACTCAGCAAATACTGATGGACACTCACTAATGGACTGTGGATACACTAATGATCTCGTGAATGAGGCCTTTCAGCTGCTTCCAGAGAGGACTGTGGGCCCCTCTAGAAGGCTTTGCTTAAGGAGAAGGGGAAGCCTTTCCATCTGTATTAATGGTTACCCTGAAAAGCAGAGCCTGAAGCAAGGATTGTGTGCAGACTTCATGTGAGAGATGATCCCAGGGAGCAGGAGCCAAGCGTTGGGGTGATAAGACGGGGAAGGAGGAAAAACCAAGAGGAGGTGAATTACAGAGATCACTGCTGTGGGCAAGGCGAGCTTGATTGCACTGGGAGAAGCAGAGAGAATTGTCCACCGAGGCACCAGGCGCTGGAGAAATTATTAACTGGCCTCTGGCTCCCCTTGGTTGAGGGTCACTCTGGGGGCATTAATGTCCCTGCACTTCTGAGCTGTGCTTTTGCTACTCCCAGTGGAATCAGGCCGTGTGGTCTGCTGTGGCCTTGGAGAAGCTCTGGGCAAAAAGCAGAGATGTGCAGCCTGCTCTTGAAAGGACAGGTGCCGGTATGAAGTGAGTCCGAGCTTCTGCATGACCCCCTGCTACAGCTACAGCTGAAATGAGAGGTGGGCCAAGGGTGTGCACCGTCACCAGAGGGGCTGCCACACAGTGCTAATGGGATCCCTCCACTACCAGATCAGTCGGAATACTCAAAGGAAAGGGAAGATGGGATGGGGCAATGGTGTACATTTGTTCTATAGTTCTCTTTTCTTAGGTTGGACCTTGTAGAAAAGAAGGAAAGAAACAGAGTTACAGAGATGGGTCTGGAATCACCTTGTAAGGTCCTTTAACTCATTCTGTGGCCAGGCCTGCCTCACAAATCCACATGGGGATCCAGCTCATTGGTAACTCAATCCATACACAGGACTCAGGATGGAAGGGCATGGTGACCTAAAAAAGACAAGTTTCCTTTCCTTTGGGAGATTCCAAAAGCCAGGAAACTTGGTCAAAGATTAATTTGAGTGGGTCAGAGAGGCTTCTCTGATGAATGAAGAAGGCAGAGTCTTATGCAATTAGTACATAATAAAAGGTAATAATGACAAAGTCCACAGCTTCCCATGGTCTGACATAATGAATAGGGTAGAATGTGACATGTCAATTAAAATCTGTCTTCTTTTAGCAAATTGTGGTTTAAGAACTAAAGAAAAAAAAATCAGAGAATTTGAAAGACTCAGAAAATAGAAAACCATTCTTATAATAGCACAGAAAAAGCAAGAAAAGGTACAATCTTTTTTATTGGAGTGTAATTGCTTTACAATGTTGTGTTTATTTCTGCAGTACAACAAAGTGAGTCACTATATGCATACACATACCTCCTTCTTGGACCTCCTTCTAACCCACTCCCCCCCCCCAGCCCCTCTAGATCATTACAGAGCCTGAGCTGAGCTCTCTGTGCTATATATACAGCAGATTCCAAAACAGCTATCTGTTTGCACATGGTAGTGTATATATATGTCAGTTCTGCTCTCGAAACTCATCCTACCCTGTCCTTCCCCAACCTGTGTCCACGTGTCCATTCTGTATATCTGCCTATCTATTCCTGCCCTGCAAATAGGTTACTCAGTACAGTTATCCTAAAATTCCATGTATATGTGCTAATATACAAGATTTGTTTTTCTCTTTCTGACTTACTTCACTCTGTATGGCAAACTCTAGGCTCATCCACATCACTGCAGATCTTATGTTCCCATACCAACTATTTCAAGTATGATGAATCCAGTTTCTTTAGCCCGGTGTTACTGGGAAAAGTTCAATGAATGTGAGTGGAAATAAGTGATGAAATTGAAAGAAATAAAGTCTCAGAGGCAGTTGAGACTCTGAACTTCAATTTTCTTCCCTGTAAATTGGGGTTAATAATAACACTTCACTGCTTGTTGGAGGACTGAATGACTGTGTGGGAAAGTGTCCTGTAAATCTGAAGGCATCATAAAGCAGTATAGCTCCTCCAGGGTTTGAAATGTAGTTGTTATTATTTAAACTGTTGGAATTATAAGCACCACTCTACTTATTAAATGGAGGAAATTCTGTTGATCTTAACATTGTTGAGTGCTAAGAATTTTCAAGGAGCCAACAGAAACCAACAGTATCAAGCTAAATTTCTGGGTGTTCTAAGGAAAAAAAAAAAACATGTTCTATCTCAGGTTGGCATTACAGCATTGTTAACAACAGCTATGGAATCTACATTTTTGTGTTACTTTTATTATTGTTTCTAACAGTGCTTCCAAAGCCCCATTATGAATGAGGTCTAGCAAGTCACAGGAGGTCAGATCCTAAATAATCCTATCCACTTACACTTCATTTCCTTTAGCTACTTCTCGTTACGTTATGCTTTTCTCAGCTGTTGATGCTCATATTCTCTGTATAGCTTTATTTTTATTGAAATCTGGTTCTTGCCTATGTCTTTTGCTTAAATTAAAAGAAACTTTCAGATGTTGCAGAACCAGCCAGATGGTTTTAAAGTACAATTAAAGGTCTTGAGATGCAGTGTTGTATAATATTTCTGACATTTGATTTCAAGTCTTTTTCCATCTCACTGAGTTTAACACAAGTCAGTATAGTTCTGACCTGGTGGGTGAATCAAAGCTGAAAGTTTCCAGAAGATGGAAAGATACCATTGTCTCAGACAAAATGGAGCTTTGCTTTAGCCTTATTTAAATATTTTGTTACTACCTTTTATTACCTGTATCTCTTCCACAGATTGAAGCAGTCTCTAGGATTGTTATTAATTCACTGTGGCTTTGGCTTTTGCTCTCCCAGGATTCTCTGATCTGGTACTGTCGTTATAAGGTTAAGAAATGGGAAAAGGAAAATGAATATCAGTAGAACCTTTCCCTATTACAAAATAAATGACTGCTTTTTTTTTTTTTTTTTAAATAAATGACTGCTTCGTTTAGATAGGGCGTGCATCGTTTGAAAGAGGCATGCAGTGAGATACCAGCTGACCAGCTAGTTGGTGAATCCACTACCATCCAAGGCCTGGCTCTCAACCTTGCAGGCTAAGAAATAGGTCTCAAGGACTCTCAGGATAACCAAACTGAGAAAGGTTGACTATGAAATCAGGCTGCAAATTTATACATTTACAGCGGTTAAAAAAGAAAAATGTGATCATAACCACTGCCGTTTCCCGAGCCCTTTCTACATGTCAGGCATCATGCGAAGCACATTTTAGATTGGTTAGTGGATTCTGCATTCAGTCCCATCTATGCCAGTCCCATATCACTGGTATGAGGTCATAGGCAGATTACTTAACTTTGTGTAAGTTACTTATCTCATTTAAAGAATTCTCAGAGGAATGCCTGGCACATTGTAAATACTCTATTTGCTATTAACGTTAATTCTCATAACACTTTTATAGGGTAGATACCATTACTATTCCCCTTTTGATGATGAGAAAATAGAGATCTAAGGATGTTAAATAATCTGCTAAGATTCCATAGATAGTGAGTAGACAACCAAAGTATAGTCCGGACCAGGAAATCAGATTTGGATGAATAAGGATTCAGGCTAAGAGAACACTCCTATTCACCTTCTCAGTGGAGAAGGTCTTTCCAGTGAGACTGTTGGTCAAGTCTTTTCTCAAGGATAGTTCTCAGAAAATCATTGCTAGAGTTTGCTCTGGGACTTCCCTTTTTTATGGCATCATAGCTAATGCCCCCATTTGGCACAACTGGCATATCATTCTCATCGTTCCCAAGTACCATCTGCAACAGAGCTGTCCAGTAGAACTTTCTGTGGTGATAAAAAATGTTGTAGGTTTACTTTGTCTAATGCAGTAACCACTGCTGATCACTTAAAATGGGACTAGTGTAACTGAGGGATTAATTATAATTTAATTTGAATTAAATTAATTTAAACTCCAGGACTTGGTGATAGACAGGGAGGCCTAGCGGGGTGCAGTCCATGGGGTCCCAAAGAGTTGGACACGACTGAGCGACTGAACTGAATTTAAATTTAAGTAGCCATATATGGGGAGAAGGCAATGGCACCCCACTCCAGTACTCTTGCCTGGGAAATCCCATGGATGCAGGGGCCTGGTAGGCTGCAGTCCATGGGACCACTAAGAGTCAGACACGACTGAGCGACTTCACTTTCACTTTTCACTTTCATGCATTGGAGAAGGAAATGGCAACCCAATCCAGGGTTCTTGCCTGGAGAGTCCCAGGGAAGGGGGAGCCTGGTGGGCTGCCGTCTATGGAGTCGCACAGAGTCGGACATGACGGAAGTGACTTAGCAGCATCAGCAGCAGCCATATATGGGCAGTGGCTACTGTTTCAAACAGCACAGACCTTCAGGCGAAAAATGTATTTTGAGGATTGAAAACAGCTTTGCAAATGGTGATTCTTGGTTGGGCAATCCAAACTGAAGTACACCCAGGAACCATCACTCTTTCCTGGCAGTGAGGGCAGGTGTGTTTTAGCTTTTCCACCGCAAGGCTCTGAGTGAGAAGACCTGGATTAGAGCCTTAGCTTCATCCCTTAATAGCTGGGTAACTTAAGACAAATCACATAAATTCATAGTGGGCGTCAGAAATAATACCTTCCTTAATGTGTGCAAGTAAG